ACCCACCGTTAATCATTACTGAGGTTACCACAGCAGGGAGCGGACTTGTGTGACTCACCAGGGTCCCCCGGACGATGTGTGCTTGGTCTGATGTCCTCACTGGAGATGATAGCATTTCATTTATAGCCTAGGGGGGGAAACACTGTTTTTTACTCAAAAGACAATGCATTTCCCTCCTTCTGAAAACAAAACAGGTATGTGTGTCCTTCCACACCTACTGATAAACAAATAAAAATGTACATTATGACGAGGGAGAGGGAAAGTGGGAGTAGAAAAGGAAAGGTGGACAGATGCAAAAAAAACCCAAAAAAACCCAGACCATAGCAAAATGGAAGCGTGTGTTCAGGCAACTTGAAAATGTAGGTTGTGACATTCTATCATGATAATATAGACACCTGAATATACACAGGGAAGAGGCCTGGAAGGTGACAGAGACACATGAAACTTTGTATTTAGGGATGGGATTGTGGTCATTTTTGCTTGAGGTTTCTATTATTTTAATATAGGTCCTTCAATAATGATGTAAAATTTCAGAGAAAATAAAGCAGGCAGTGGAGCTTAGCAATGGCTTTATTTAAGAAAGCTCATGCCTGCAGCCGATTTTAAGATATCAGGTTACCCAATAGATCGTTAAGTGATGACTTAACGTAGGGAAGGTGTGTGAGTGGCTGGCTGTTTAGTTAACCTGTCACCACAGGTGTAATTACTATTTGCAGGAGACTGTGAAGGGAACCCCGAGACACCCCCAGAAAGAGAAGCCGCAGGCCTTGTCTCCTCCCCTGTACATAGGGATAAAGATACCGTCCCCCACGGGTGCTGGTAAGCTCCGTGGGATTGACTTTGCAGAGTGCATACCCCAGGGCGCGGTCAGTAAGTCAGAGAGATTACTGCATTTATCAGGAACCATGCTGCTGGCCTCCGGACACTTACGGAGCAGCGAAGGAAGAAGGAAAGAGAAGGCCACCAGCAGCCCACAGGACATCTGTGCACAACTGAGAAAGGACAGCCCTTTCCCCAATGGGCACAATGCCCGCTGGCCCTGGCCCTGCTCACCCCCAGCCAGGCACCTGCCCGGTAATTTATGGCAACCCTGGATGTCATCCGACGTGGGACCATCTGCCACTTAGAGAGGGACAGCTGAGCCAGCTCGGGAACAGGGTTTTAAGGGACATTGAGTTGCAAGGTGAGAAAATGATTCCCTTTTGAATTCCTTGCCCATGCTCCCAGTGACATCAGGAGAAAATCTGCCTGGTGCCAGGGCAGCTTTGACATCTCCCCACTTTCACAGGGCCTCTGGCAGGCAGGCGCATTTTCTACGTGGAATTACTAGGTTGTATTTCTATTGTGTCCATTTTCCACTGACCTGCTCTTTATACGAGAAAATCTGGTTTTCCATGTACAGTTGAAATATAAAATTTCCTATTTAAAGAAATGTACTTCATTTGCACACAAGTCCATTTAAAGAAAAAATGTTTTTAAAACATATGCTAGTACAAGTGGCATATGCACGTGGCACAGCCATGGAGGTGGCACTGGGCGGGCTGAAATTTGGGTGCTGGTCATCTGCTGCTGTTGCCATGAGAGGCGAAAACTGTCAGGTTGGGAGGACTTGGGGCTTTGCAGGTGGGAATGGGGTGGAGGCAGGTGTGGAGTGGCCTCGCAGAGGGATGTCACTGGATGTGGGCTGGGAGGGGCAGCCAGGGTGTCCCCTGCCAGGGCAACCATCAGCCAGGCCACGTCTCTGTTTAAATCCCGGCAGCAGATCAGCCATGCTTACCTCACCACCAAGCGTGCTGTCCACCTCAGTTGTGTTCAACAGGGCTGTCGCCTGACCCCTGACCTCTGACCCTACCTGTGGGACACGGGGAAAGAAATAATAGGACAGGGGCTGAAATTAACAACGGCAGAAATAAAAGCAGAGAGCAAGGAATAACGTGTCACCCCCAGACACATTGTATCCACGCCATCCCAGGAAGCATTCGGCTCTGGAAAAGGCACCAGTCCTGTCCATGGAGACGGCTGATTTGGGGATGGGGTGCTTTTGTAGTTGCTGGCGGGGAGGTGGAGTTTCTTGTTCAATGTTTCATGTAAAATGATGGCAAAAAAAACCCCTTGTTTCAATGGGGCCTCGTAATCTAAAAGGTCGTCCTCTCTGAGGCTTCCGATGACGGCTTCTGGGGTGACCGTGGTTGGGCAGTGCTGTGCGCACCATCTAATTCAGGGGTCGGCAAACTGCGGCTCGCGAGCCACATGCGGCTCTTTGGATACATTCTGTCTCAAAAGTTTGCCAACCTCTGGAAGAGCCAATCCTGTCCCTCACAACAATGTAAAAATTATTCGAGAGCCATAAATATATTTTTACATAATCGCCATTATGTGAATAATATCCTTTAAAAATTTTGTAAAGGAAACTATGGTAGTTTTATTTTCTTTTTCAATTTTACTTCAGAGCCACAGTTTTGGAGCTGCAGTTTGCTGACCCCTGGCGGCTCTTCCGTCTCACAAATCTGCCGACTCCTGATTGCACTCATGCCTCACTCAGTGATACTCACTAAGGGACCCAGATGTCGACAGGGGCTGGAATTCTTTTCTCATAGTTCTCCAGCTTCCCATGGAGATGGGGAGCATCTATGCAATCTTGCAGACCATCTTGATCAGGGGGGTGTCCAGGGGCTGAATAGGACCAGGTGGTGTCAGACCTCAACCAAGACAGGAAAGGGGGGACCTGTAGGCGTCCCTGCCACACCCTGTGTCGGTGGGAATGGCCCCTTCCCTTCCTCTTGGCCTCGAAAGAACTTCCTTGTCCTTGGTCTGAGGATTTGCACGTGGCTCGCCTCGGCTGCGCTTACGGGATTGCAACCCTTTCTTTCCCTGCCCACTAACTCCTTTTCGCTGACGGGATACCTGGAGACTTCTCTTTACGGTGAAAAGTGGGCTCAGCAGCGGCATTTTGGATGGACCAAGTCCTCCCCAGAGCACAGCCTGTCCCAGGTGAGTGTGTGCGCACGCGTGGGCTGGTACATTCATGTAAGATGGGTAACGGAGAAGTGCGTACACTGGGAGATGGCCTTATTTACCAATGGCTACAAAGATGTAATTAGTAATTACTGTCAATAGTTCTAATATTGGCAGCTGCCGTTTGTTGCATGCCTGCCAGTGCTCTAGCCTGTGCTAAAGGCTCACATGTGCATTTTTCATTTGATTAAATTACCCAATAAACCTAAGACAGAGAGAGAACATTATTCATCTCACTTTATATATGAAAGCCCAAGGGTGGGTCAGATTATGTATCTGATAAGCCACCGTTTTGGAATCTAAAACGTGGGTCCCCGTTTGGTTTGTGGGTTCCCATTTTCAGAGCCCTAAAGATACCTCGGCAGAAATGGGTGTGTGTCCTGAGCAGCAAGGAGGCGGCGGGCGGACATCTTGGTACTGGGAGATGGAAACCCCTTGTTCTGGGTGGGGCTCTCTGACAGCTGGCCCTGGACCCCTGTCTTCCTGCCACCAGATTCCCTCCCTGCCGCCTGACCTCAGGTCATTATCCCTTCCCTGCACGCTTCGCTTGTGTAGCTGCTTCCTCCTTCCCACGAGATCACCGCTAAGCCAGCGGTCAGCAAGGACAGCACCCAGGACATCACCACACCTCGCCCACCCGGCCGTGCCTCAGCCAGGACTTGGGGAAGCGACCCCCACCGGTCTCCTCCAAGCTCTGCAGCCACAGATCCATCCCCACCCCCCACCCCCAATGGGAAGGCTTAGCACAGCTGCTGGGCCCAGGAGCCGTTTCCTTTTTCCTGGATAGTTGAACATCAGCGCAGAATGGAACTGCCTGAGGCAAGGGTGTCTGCTACACAAAGGACTGTTGTTTGTCAAGATGGTTTCCTGCTTAAAATGTCACACATGAGTCAAAACAGCTAACGGCTGCTGTTGTTGCTGGGTGGAAGGATTCCTTCTGGGGATCCGGCTATCTGGATAGTTTGGGTCACAGAGGTGGCTGTGGGGTGAGGTGACTTGCTTGATAGAACAAAGCAAATAAGATGCAAGGTCCAGGGCTTGTCATTAGAGGCCCATGAGCTCGCCCTGCAGACGCGAGGGTAGGTGGGGAGCTGGACCTGCCTTACTTGACCCCAGGCCACGTGGGTGGGGAGCTGGTCCTGCCTTACTCGACCCCAGGCCGTGGCCGGGAAGCCGCTGTGAGCCCAACACATCGTCCCTGTAGAGGAAGGTCACCTGGTGAAAACCATTCTCCCCTAAACCAGGTTTCTCAGCCTCAGTGCTGCTGACGCTTTGGGCCAGATTCTCCTCTGTTGTGGGGGCGTCCCCGGGGCTGTAGGGTGTTTAGCAGCAGCCCTGGCCTCCACCCACTGGATGCCAAAAACACTGTCTCCTATGCCATCCAGGTTGTGACAATTAAAATTGTCTCCAGACCGTGCCAGATGTCCCCTGGGGGCAAAATTGCCCCCAGCTGAGCTAAAACAATAAATCAGTTATGTTGGACACTTTTCTCAGGAAGGTTTTTCCCCTTTTGCTCCTCAAATATGAGTGAGTGTGAGGAAGTGAGGGCGGGGGACACAATAAGTGGGGAAACCCGGAGCTGACGTCATTGCCGGTGAAACACAAAGCACGTCCCTCTACCTGGGCTGAAAAGGCTCTGCTCTCGTCGTTGTACACGATCAGGGTCTGGTCGCCTCTCTCACGGGGGACAGAGCCCCTGTGCCCCTTGGCTCCGAGCAGAAAACGGCATCGCAGCAGCAGGAAGAACAGCACCACTGTGACGAGACAGCCAGAGGTGACGTCAACAGCCTTGTCCGTGTCAGAGGTTTCCACAGGGTCACGTCCTGTCGACTTAGAACTCAGCCCTGACCTGCGCTGGTCAGAATGGTACTCAGTCATCTTTGCAGCCGCAGAGCCTGGCACAGCCGGCGGCTCGGGCAGATGCTGGGCAGCTGTTGGCTGAATTGATGGACTAGTACCACGTGACCAGTAATCCTGTGTTTACCTGAAAATCCGGCCTCCTCATTAGCCATCTCTCAGGCCAGGAGCCTAGCTAAAAGTGTGTGTGTGTTGCTGCCCCAGCATTACTGCAAACCATAGGGTCGCCCTGAGACAGTGTCCGTCTGGGGGTTCCATTGCTGTAAATCGCTGCTTATTGAGTAGAACCTGCTTTTGCCTAACAGCGTGTCTGGCCAGTTGGCCACCTGTGCTTTGAGTCTGGGACCCTGATGAGTCTAGGGGTCATGATTGACGTCCCGCTGCTCTCTGCCATCATCTGCTCTCGTCCCAGAGGACTCCATGGCCCTGGCTTACAGCCTGGGGAGAGGAGCCACATTCCCAGAATAGCCCCTGCTGGCCACTGACCTGCCAGAGCCGTGAACACTGCACAGAGAGGGGCCAGGACCCCCACGGGGAGCCCGGCTCCTGCGACTGATGGCTCCGCCACACAGGTGAGTCCGCCGGCACAGGAACAGACCCGTACGTGGACAGTCTGCTTCTGGGACAGTCCCTGTTTGTCTCCGATGAAAAGTGGCACTGAGTAATCACCGCATGGGAGGCTTCTCAACATTAAAAGTTCAACCGCCCGACCTGCAAAGGGAAAAGGACCTCGTATGCATTGACTCCCTCATCGTCCAGCGACTCAGCAGACATTTACCCAATGCCTGCCCCATGCCAATGCTCTGTACGAACGTCAGCCAACTGCCAAGCCACAGGGGACAGGCGCCAAGACCACCCTCACTTCTGACATCTGCTGCGAGTTCAGGGGTTCCCAGGACCAGTCAGCCAAGGAAAGACGCACGTAGGGCAGAGGGCAGAAAAGTATCAGACGTAGAACTGATCTTCTATTCCTGCTCTCCCGTGGGGTCGGACAGCGTTACAGCCTGGCACCAAGGAGTGACAATACGCCTGGACTGTTGCCAACCAGGGAAGCTCACTGAGCCTGGCACCCAGAGTTCCTGTGAGGACTTGGTCACAGAAGCCTGGTTGGCCGCTCACATGGCTCATTGATTGATTCCCACGTGACCCAAATCCCCCACCCTAAATCACATTATTCCTGTTGATTGGCACAAGACCCCAGGTAAACACTTCTATCAGAAAGCACTTTCCAAGGGCTTGGAGGTGAGCTCCCAGAAGCCAAGGCCAGACCACTTGGGGTAAGGTTCAGTGCTTTACTACACACTCTGGCTCTGGATGTTTACACATTGTGTTTATTTGAAAATCTAGCTTCCTTATTAGCCTTCCCCAATTCCAGGGGCTCACACTTTCAACTAAAGACACACTACTTTTTTTATAGGTGTAAATAGAAGCGCATTAAGAGAACCACAAAGGAGAATGTCGACAGTGGACACCAGTGGCTCCTCCTGGTAACAGCACCCCAGTTTTCCTTGGGGGAACCCACACTCCCATGTGGGTCAGTAGAGGTTAAGCCCAGGCCCCAGGCAGGTCCAGGTGTGGGCTCAGTACCAGTCAGCCAGCACATCCCAACTCCCACCCACAGTGATTGGCAGGGCAGGTGACCCAAGCCATGCGGTGATATCAATCTCGCCAGGTGCCAGGATGGGCCCAGGGACTCCAGCAGCCACTGTGCAGCCCCCAGACAAGAGCCTGCCTGAAAATGAAGGAACCCAGAGAAAGACCGAGACAAGGTACGGACAGGCAGCCTCCGGGATGTCCTTCGAGCATCTCGCTCCGGCCCTGCTGGAATACAGGCTTACCTAGCTCCTTTCTTAGATACAGAGGCCAGTAAATTCCTTTTCTTGCCTAAGTCTGTTTGAGCCAGAAATGTCTCTGCCATTTCAGTCCTTTATCCGGGGCCGGTACAAACACTCACCCTGGTTTTCCCCCAGTTCCCATGTGTCTTGTACATTTCCCCCAGTCGTGTCCAGTTGAAATGTAAACGGCTCTGAGTAGGGCTCCAGGTCGCCGTCCTCTGCCTCGATAAGGAGGGGCTGGGTCACCGCAGACTCACAGACCTCCACGTGCTGAGAGCGGGGATGCAGAGTCGGGGCATTGTCATTGACATCAGACAGGAACAGCCTCAGGGTCCCCGTTGCAGTCCCCGGTGGCAGGCCTGGCAGGGGGGTTCCGGGGAGGGTTGCTTATCAGTGAAAGAGCCTGCCCTGCGCCCACAAACCCCAAGCTCCGAGGCAAAGAACCACCACCGAATTGCTGACACTGTTTCCCTTTCAAAGTCATGAGCTTTGCGTACCTGCTTGTTTGAAAAGTCACAATATCTGGGTAGGGTAAGTTAACAAAACGCCACCTTAAATCATTTGCAGAAGCAAGTAGAATGTAGGATCATCTAGTAAATTAAATGTCAGTTATGCAGATGTTGTGCTGTGATGTGATGATGGACATATCCTGTATCGGGACTGTGTCCACATCTGTGATGGCTGTGATGTGTACTACAGCTTCATAAGGTGTGACCATTGGCAGACGTGGTGGTGGGCACTCATCCCACTATATTATTTCTACAAGTTCCCGGAAGGTGGACCCCACTTTCCTTCCCCTCACTTAAGACAGATTAGAAACACGGATTTACTGTCATCCTGACCAACACTCTCCTGATTACTTATACAAACAGGATATCCGGCTACCTATCCCTTGGAACCTGGGTTTGAATTCACAGATTTCCTTAAATACAATTATTGAACTTATTTGAAAGTTTTTGTTTATTCAGCTTCATGTTCTGGCAGGTTTCAAAGTTCGGCCTTGGGAGGTTGTAGAGAAAATGTTGAAACATGCTCATCAAACCACGCATGCTGGTTTATGACAGTCTGTCCCAGGCAGCCGCACTTACGAGCCCTTCCCAGTACGGGGACGTGTGCTAAGTATGTGTCACACACCAGTGGCTTTGACAGAGAGCGAAAGAGTTGTCTTATCACAGACGAAAAAGGCACTGGGTTTGAATGTGGCTTCCTCGTGGGTTTAATTGTCTCTTCTGAGTGACTAGCGCCCCTCTTTCTGTGGCATTGGTCCCTAGTTTGCCATTACAAGAATTATCACCCAAATTAATTGCCAGTACGGATGCACACTGATAAAAAGCTTTCTATTTTTCCCAGTTGTGCTGAAAAACTTGCCTGGGTTATTTTCCCACAGGAAGCAAGAAAACACACTTTCCCTGCAATTTTGGGTGAACACTTACCGTCATCAACAGCATGAACAATGATTACGTAAAAGCTATCATTCACATAAGGGGACTCTCGGTCGACTTGCTTCCTGGTGACAACGGCTCCTGAGTGTTCATCTACGGTGACCCAATTCTCAGGATCGTGAACTAGTTTATACCTCAAAGAAGGAAACACATGCAATTTTAAAAATTAAAACGCTCCATCAAAAGACAAATAAAAATACAGCAGACATGACTCCTATCACAAGTAATGTGGGAAATTCAGAGCGCAGTTAAGTTAGGAGTATTCATTCGATGCAGGCACAGGGGTGACAGCTGAAGACTCTATTCTTCAAATGTCAAATCGATATTCACTGAGTACTTCGTGTCCCGCCCTCACTGGGCAGCACATAACTGTCCACCTGAGGAAAACATTCATTCTGGAAAGGAGCCAGTCGTCAGTAGCCTACAGGGGTTGGTAGCTTACTGTTCAAACCAACCTGCCCTTGGGATGGAAGGGTGGGACTCTGTTCCCTCTGGGGCTCACAGGATCCACACATGGGTACCCTAGTCATTCCCCACGGTCTTCACATCCCCCTCGCCTGTGGGCACCTGGTGCCACTTTCACAGGTGGGCCTACCCAGCCCTCTGGAATTTCCGAGACCTGTCAATCAGATGGCATCGATCAGAACCATCTAGGGTTGCCAAGCGCACCTCCTGCTGTAGGACCCACAGAGGAACCTCCTGTTCCCAGAGGCCAACCACAGAAAAGATGCAGACCCCCCCAAAAGGGCCAGAGAAGGGAAGTGCCCCCAGCCTGCTGTTCCTCATTGGGAAAGGCTTTGGAAAGGGTTGGCAGCAATCCCTCTCAGATATTCCATGTGTTGCAAGTTTTAAAGGGACTGCCGCTTTTCCGTGCACGGCTTGGCTCCAGAAAGCTCCAGAAGTTCCATGGGAGGGCAGTGGTTTTATAATGTTTACAAATCGAGTAGAAGCTCAGAGTTCATCTGTGGACCGTCTCAGGCCAGAAGACACCTCTCAGCAAGTTGGTGCGTGAGCGGCCAAGTAGCCCCACTGAATGGAGAAGGAGCCAAGCACGGGCAAACCGAACCTGCTCGCCAGGCCACGCCCAACTCTGTCACCAAGGACACTCACTCACACCTTGGCAAAGGCAACATTTGAGGCCAAAGTGAGCAGACCGTTTAGTTCTTGGCTGGAGCACAGTCCGGGCCATCGCTGAGACCGACTCTGAGCCCACCACCGTCCTCCAGGACTGAGAAGCCAGCAGTGAACAAGACCAGGCTGTGCCTCGGTGTCCTGGGAGCCAGGCCCGCGAACCCCAGCATCAGTGTCACCTGGGAACTTGTTAGAAGTGCAAGTCTCAGTCCCCACCGGGGGCGCCAGAAACACAGGCCCACGGGTAGGCCCGGCCATGTGTACTTTCTCAAGCCCCCTGGGCGGTTCTGCTTCGCTGTCCTCTGACCACCTGCCTACCAGCCCCCTTGACCTGTGCAGCTGCCACAGTGAGACAGGCAAGAGCTGACCGCCTGCTGGGAAATGTTTGTGGTCACAGCGTTACTGTGCCCCCAGCACATAATCATTTCTCTAGTAATTCACCTTTTGAACTATTTTAGGACTATCACTCCACAGTGAGTTGGTAATTAGAAGAGACAAAACCGGGTCCTTCCCAAAGTATAAGTTGATAAACATCGCTCTAAAGAAACACCTCAAACTCAGGTGTCCACGGGGGCCAAGCGGTTGCAAAAATGAATGGAGCTGGCTGGATGGGGCCAGGAGCCAACTGCTGAGCTCAGCCTCTCAAAGGGCATGACCCCCACTGTGCCCTGGCGTGGGGGGCCGGGGGGAGTGTGCGGCCCCACAGAACATAGACCCAGTGAGGCCAAACCTTCCATTTTCCAAGAACACCCAGACAATTCAGGCTGTTATGCCTAATCTCTTGATTTTTAAGTGCTGGCAGCTTCATTTTTCCCCCCTCTTTTTTATTGTGGTAAAATACACATAACATAAAATTTACCTTCTTGACCATTGTTACGTATATGGTTTGGTGATATTACATACATTTACACCGTTGTGCCACCGTCCCCACCATCCATCCCAGAACACTCTTCCTCTTGTAGACCTGAAACTGCACCTGTTAAATGGTGACACATTCTCCCCTTGACTTTGACACAGGTAAGCACCTCATAGAAGTGGAATCGTACAGTATTTGTCTTTTCGTAACTGTTATTTTTTACTTATCATGTTCTCTCTTCACAAAATGTGGAAGCAATCCACGTGTCCATCAGCAGATGGGAGGATAAGTAAAATGGTGCAGTGGAATGTCACTGAATTCTTGAAAAGGAAGGACATCCCGCCATTTGCTATCTAACAGGTGAGCCTTGAGGACAGCTCGCTGAATGGAATAAGCCAGTCACAGAAGAGACAGATACTGTGTGGTTCCACTTATATGACCTAGAGTCATTAGAATCAGAGTAGAATGTGGTTCCCAGTGGTTGGGGTGGCAGAGGAAGGGGGGCCCTTTTTAAGGGGGATAGAGTTTGAGTTTTACAAGATGAAGAGAGTTCTGGAGATGGACAATGGTGATGGTCACACTACAGTGTGGATTTACTTAATGCCACCGAACTACACACTTACAAATGGTCAAAACGATAAACTTTACGTTCCATACATTTTACCACAGTTTGAAAAAAACTGTACTTCTGTTGCCCGGAAGCTAGAGGACTGCCAGTGTCCAACCTCTGGTAGAGGGAGATAGAAACACACAAAAAATTATTCTAGTACAAGAAGTCTCTACAAGAGAAATCCGCCAAGTGCAAAGAGAAATGAGCAAGCGAATTCCTGGTGGGGCCGGAGAAAGCTCCAGAAGGAAGAGACCTCGGACCTGGGCCACTGGGCATTCTGGGGGCTCCTGGTATTTTCATAACTGAGGTGGAGTCAGCCGCCCATCACACCAAAGGACCCTGTCTTCCAACAGGACTTTTCGCGGGTCTGTGGCTCGTTCTGCTTAAACCCGTCCTGGTCCTCTTCTCACCGTATCTGGCTGGCATTTCTGTCTGGATCCGTCGCATTAAAAATCCCCAACTGAACTCCAGGCCCAGCGCCGTCGACCTCACTGACCATGAGGGTCCCGGTGTGGAAGGCCGGCGGTTCGTTGGCGTCCGTCACCTGCACGCGCACAGTGGCGCTGGCTGCCGCCCTCCTCGGCCACTGAAGCTCACCCCCATCACAGGAGAAAAGCAGCTCCTCGTTTTCCACAGCAATGACAAGGCTCTGCGTGGGGGAACTTTCATAATCCAAAGGCTGCAAGCCCCAGAGAGAGGATGTCATTAGCACCTGCTGCTGCTCCGGCCGGAGGCAGCTCAGCAGAGCTGGTGGCTTCTGCGCGTCATTTATTATTTACACTGTCTTTGATAATGATCAAGAGACAGTCATCAGCTCATTTTCAAATCATTTATAGAGTTCTTGTTGTTGTGTGTGTGTTTTTTCCCTCTCCCTCTCCTGGTTGAAAAGAGCCACCATCCATCAGAGAGTAATAAAAAATGCAACAAAAACCATAACCTAATGAAACATTAATGTGACAACCCTGCTACAAAAAGAAAAAAGAAAAAGAAAAAAAACAGAACTCAGGGGACCTGAAGGAAATATACATATTAATGATCACAGTTATTCAGGGTACAAAGTGGTCAGTGACTTACAAGGACTGAAGGGCTGGGGATGTTTGGAAAATTCAGTCCCAGGTGTGTGGGGTACAGGACCCACAGAGCCTCGCTCTGCACAGCGTGGTGGGGGCCATTGGCATCACCTGGGAACTCGTTACACTGACGGGCAGAAGCGTGGGCCCCACCCACGCCTACTCACTGAGGTCTGTCTTTGAACTTGATCCCCAGATTGACTCACCTGCACTGACTATGCCAGGGGCACTGGTCAAGCCAGGGTCCAGCTGCGAGCAATGAAGACTAATGGCGCTGCTGCGGTCAGACTACCCCAGTCGGCACCCCGCTCCAGCTGTGTGACTTCGTGAAAATGACTCAGCCTCTCGGCTTTGCTGTCCCTCTCAGTCAAATGCAGGGCCCACTGTCCCTTAGGCAGCAGGCCAAGCACCAGTGGCCCACAATACTTTTAGGGGCCTGCACAAATGTTCTCATTTGTTTTAGATTTAGAAGGAAAAAAGTACACTCTTAGGATTAGAGAAAGTGTTGTAAATATTTTTATCACATCAGGAAAAAAATAACATTTTAGGGCCTATATAAATCTATTAAATTTTGTCTGAAAAAAGTAAATGTTGACGTACTTAGTCATATAAAAAATAATTTTTAATATTATTGTTATTTTGGTGGAAGGTGGCCGGAAGCCAAAGGGCCAAGGGCCACTGCAGAATCCATGACACAGTCCTCCCTCCTCACCAGGTGCCCTGGGCACTTGTGACAGTGCGTGTCCCGTGTTCAGCACACTGTGGGCACTCAGCCAGTGCTGGCTCCTATGTCATCATCACAAACCTGCAGGATGGGGCCACCTGCCGGTACCCATTGCAGATGGCTTTACCTTGATAACATTTAAAATCCCTTCATTGGTCTCAGGGTCAGTCACAATGTCAAAATGTCCCTCTTCGTTGCCATCCGATATGTTGAATGTCGCTCTCCAAGCTGGTGTGAATGGCGCGTCACCATCTTGGACCAGGAGACGCAGCACATCCCGGCTAACTCGGCCTTCGGGAACTTGAATTTTATACTGAGAGAGGCAGTCATCGGGTCCATGTCATGGAGATCCAGAGCCGCAATTGAAAAAACAAAGCAAGGAAGAAAAAGTCAGCCCTTGGCACAACAGCTTGGATATTTCTCTTCCTGTTGAACTTGACCTCAAGGAATTTGAAACTCTGCCTGACACAGCAGAACAAGCACCAGTAACAAACATCTTGTCCCTTCTCCTTGGGACTTGGTGCCTACAGCTGAACAACTTTGAAAGTGCTCTTCAATCTGATGCAATGCCCCATTTTTCTAAGAATTTTAAAAATAGCAACACACATCCCAGTTTACGCTGCCTAAAAATCCTAGCTCTACTCCTAAAATAGAACTCTTATGGTTACTTAGATGAAGACGATCATTTTTCTAACACATACAGATCTTTAAAATAGATGGTTATTGAATACTTGTGGTGACAAGATAATTTCCCTCGATGAGCACCTAAAGTAACAGTTTCCTTTTTTAAGCCCTACTTTTGGGAGCACAGCTTTTTACCAAGCCAGATAATTCGGAAACAAAGCTGAAACTTAGTATTATTTTTCAGTTATTCTGTGCTGTTTGGTGAGGTGCTTTCATTGAAAACATTTCAGCTTTGGTTTATACTATTTAAAAAAATTTTAATGACGCTTTTAAAAAATTATTTGTAGCCTTTATTTATGTACCCAATTCTGTTTTACATGAGCAAGATAGACAAAAACCCCATCCCGAGGACTGGTGACTAAGTGAGTGTGTGTTCCTTGTGGGGTACGTGGGGCAGGGGAGGGAGGCCAGAAGAAAGACAAAAATAGAATGGACGTTTCCCTTTAAAAAAATTTTTTTAAATTGGAAACATCCTGAGTGGTTGTTATTCTCTGTCTTAGCAATCTTGCATGTCTCAAATGCTGCAGTATTTCCAAACTGGCCTGGAACAGTGGGTTTCGATGCTTTCTTCAAGCCTGGGGATCTTGTGGCATGTGGACTCCTATGCGGAACCCTGACACATAAATCAGGTGACCGAGGGAGGCCAGGCCAGAGCTCACCGGCTCGTCTTCCCTGTTCTGGAGTCCTGGAACATTGTGGGAAAAGCCCAGCTCTAGACTTCTCACCCAGGGGCCATTCTGCCACCAGGAGACATGTGACAATATCTGCAGATATTTTTGGTTGTCCCAACTTGGAGGGATACTCCTGGCATCTAATGGATAGAGGTCGGGGTTGCTGCTAAACATCTGCAGTACACTGGGCAGCCTCCTTCCCACCAACAAGGGATTGTCCACGCCCACATCGCAGTAATGTGGACGCTGAGAAACCCTGAAGTACAGCAAGCATGGATTCCCTAACCGCCGCAGGCCTCAGTGTCTGCATCCGTGAAACAGAAATCACGAGGTAGTTCCAACAGTTAAGAGTGAAATCGTGCATGTAAAAGGTCTGAGCACAGTTTCTGGCACAAAGTAGTAAGAAACGTAAGCTCATGTGGCTATTATCAATTGATTCTATGTCAATATGGCTAACTTCTCCATTCTAACGCGTTATTTTGGAGAATGACATGGCTATAGGGTGACGTGGGGGTTCCCTGAGCCTAGCACTTGGGGCCATTTGTGTGGGGCGTTGGAACCCGAGGCACCCGGGAGGCCGTACCTCTTCCTGGGGGAACGTGGGCCTGTGGTTGTTGCCTTCTTGCACATCGACATGAACCGTGGCCGTGGAGGACAATGGGGGCTCCCCACAATCCATCGCTCTAATGAGCAGCGTGAACCGAGGAGCAGTCTACATGGGGAGGAAAAGGGAAGTCAGGCCCCCAAATACGGGGAAGGGAAACGTTAATAAAGAAATATTCCGTTTGCACAATTTCAGCAGCAAGCCTGGCCACAGAGGCTTTCTCGCTGCAGCGTACATCCTGCCGGGCTTGGACATGGAGCACACGTTTCATTGTTTTGAAATAATAAAATCCACATAACCTCGTAATCTAAGCATCCTGAGAGTCGGATTTCTCCGCCAGTCCGGTCAATCCCAAAGCCACTTTCTTTCAGTAACGGCGTTTGAGAAACAAGGGAATAAAGGACTTGAGAATTTGGAGTATTTTCTTGATCCAAGTCGGTTGTGAACATCTGAAAAATAGGTTGACCTGGAAAGAATTTTTTAAATTGTTACTATTGGCCAAAGGCAGCCTATCAAACCAGTAGGAAGATGATTTTTTTGCCAAATGGTATTGGGGCACACGCCAGAATGGATTCAATATTTAACTATAAAATAAACTATAGGCACAGTAGACCAAATAAAGATGAATATTTAAATAGTCAGAAGGTCAAGAGCACATTTCTAATCACGATTGCAAATGCAGAAGACTTACAGGACAAAATTCATAGATAGATTTTCAGATGTGTGGCCCCAAAACTATAGACAAAATAGATGCACATTGCTAAAACGAGTAGTTTGGTTTTAAAGACTCACAGAATTTTTGGCCCAGAAACTTTAGACGCCATCTTGTTGCCATTGTACAGATGGGAAATGCACAGAGATATTCACAGCTCACCACCCAGCTCTGCCTTTTTCCCTCACTGCATTTGGCTTTATTTTAATTGGCACTGACATATCAGCTCTTCCAACGGAAACAATCCCCCAGCGCTGCATTGTTGCCAGCTCCCAGTGAGGCTCCAAGACCTGGATCCTTTGGCTCTACTCCAGGGGCTGCGACCCTTGCGACGTGGACCCCGGCTCCCTGACCACGCCCCCAGTAGGACCACGCCCCCCCGTATAGAAGTGGGAGAACCTTTACTTTAGGGAACCCCAGGCAGGCAGAAGCTGCCGCACACACCTGCGGCGTGGCTCTCTTGCACACGGATGCTGAATTCCTCCTTAGGGAACTGGGGTGCGTGGTCATTCACATCACGGACCCTGATGTGGAAGGTCAGGGATTGGTCCACGATGCTTCCCGTTACGCGGTCCATGACATCCAAACTAAGCTGGGAAGCAGAGACCCGCATTAACGGTGCAGCAGCGCTCACCGGGACACTCATGCAGTAGCGGCCGCGGCGCGGTGCGTTCTGCATCCGTCTTCTCCACCAGCCTGGGGGTGCCTGAGGGCGGGGCCGGATCGCCATCGTGCGCCCGGTGACCCCAGGGACTGAGCACAGGGCTGGCGCGGACCAGGCGCTCGGCAACCATCAGTGCACTGACTCGAGCCCCACAGAATGTACACCACCAACAGTGACCCTAGTGTAAACTGTGGGCTGCAGTGAGTGGGTGACACTGGCTCCTCAGTTATCACAGACGTCCCACACTGATGGAAGATGCTAATGGTAGGGGCAGCCGGGGGCAGGAAAGTGAGGGGGGTGTGGGACTCTGTACATTCCACTCTATTTTTCTGTAAACCTAAAAATGGCTCTAAAAAAGTTAAGCCTATTAAGTTTTTAAAGTTCCCACATATACAATAAAAAGTGGGCAACCATGTACACCGGGGGGTGCCAAAAAAAGGTACACATTTTAATAGATGGTATCTATGTGTCACTTTTCGAAGTTGAATTACGGTAGCAGTGTGTAGTATGAGGTTTGCTCAAAAAATGGCGTTCATCAAATGAATGCTAGCGTCATTCATTGTATTACAATTTTAATACAGTGTTTTCCTTTTTTAAATGTATATCCTTTTTGGGGGGCACTGTGTGTGTGTGTGTGTGTGTGTGTGTGTGTGTGTGTTTAAAAGTAAGTCTAGCCTGGCTTGCTGCTGACTCGCATTGCTCGGGAGAAACGTGATTTTATTTGCCGAAGGCTATAAAGGCTGTGGGAAGGGGTCAGCGATCAGGTGCAGGTTCAGTTATAGGAAAAGGAGCAGGAAAGGGGGTGAGATGTTGCACCAGGAACTCTCAAGGCCGACGGCCCTTTACAGCGGGACCGCTGGTTTCTCAGGGGTCGCCTGGCTGCCAGGGAGAGTCCTGCTCAGAGATGCTGAGTAAGCACACGGTTTATTCTAGAAGCTTCAGTGAGGCCTCGGGAGGACTCACCAGAAGTGGGCTGAGCCCTCACGCACATCAGCTCCTTCCTTCCTTGCAGAAGCTCTAGTCGGAGGCACCCTGTCACCCTGCTCTGCATCTTGGAGGTTCCACAGCTGTCCAGCTCTCAGCTTGGAGGCAGAGGACCCCAGGTTTAAGTCCAGTTAGATGTAGACTTGACTACACTGTCAGCCAGTTCTTCACCACTTCCCTCTATGGCCACACAGAGAGCCCAGAGCAGGCAGCTTATGCAGGCGGGCGTCTCGGGCCCTGGCCAGCTCCAGGCAGCACCTGTACCCTTAGTCCCCTCCTGTCGGTCACTGCACACACCTTCCTGCAGACTTGCTGCTCACTCACCTGCATCCCACACGGTGGGCCCCCTTGGGGTCCTAAAATGCAGACCTGGGCCCCAAGTCTACTCAGGTTCAGCCGTCTCCTCTCTCCCTGCAAGAGGAAGGGTGCGGCCGTGCGACTGCTGCTGCCCTGTTCTGCTTCGGGGGTTCTAACATACATTCCTACATTTTTATGCAAGCAAATTGGCTTTCTCACACACCATTCCTACCCGCACCCCCATCATTTATGAGTGTGCTGGCAGCTCTTTGGTCCTAAGCACCCTGACTTCTGGCTCTCAAACTCGGCCAACTGTCATCCCTCCACTGGAAAATAAGAATCGCATGCTTGTTTTATGTTTATTATTTCAGATTCCATTTATTATCCCAAAAGCTACATCTGAAACCTTTAGCTCTGTAAGATGCCTGAGAGGCGTAAGTGCTATTTATTCTCTGGCAAGATGTTAAGACTTTCTGGGGGACTCAGAGTCACAATGGAGACAGGACATGTCACGGGTATTTTCTGCACTCGGAAAGGGTTTTAGCTTTTGTTATAGCCTTAAGACGCCTGTCCTTGAATAAACAAACCATAGTGCATTGACGCGATGGATTGGCACGTGCCTGTTTGAAATGACAAGTGCCAGATCCTTGCCCTTAGACACAAACGAGCATATGGAAACCTCTTAACTGCCAAATGCACAGTACAGATTACTTCTACGCCTAGGCTCCAAGCACGCAGAGAGGACTGAGTTGGGATAAAGATCAACACAAAGTTATTTCGAGGAATGTTAAAGGGTGGATTTCCTTGAGTGTATTTGTATCCTATGAAATTGAGCATGTTTTGATATAACTAGATAAGATTCTTACACAGAAAACAGACCTTTTCCCTTCCCCAACCTGCCTTAAGTCTTAGAGCAGTTCTCAGCCGCTGTTACTGCCTCTCGTAGGCTTATGGGATTCACAAGCAGTCTGCCTCCCCACCCCCTTCCCAGACTCGAGGTTGTCAGTGTTTGGGCTCCTTCTGTTGACTCCTTGACCATCCTCGAGCAAAGCCATGCTGCTGGGGATGTCTTTTTATCACTACGTTCAGTTTACTTAATTTTTAATAATGCCTTGTCTTTATGGATGCCAGAAACCAATGGTAAACATTCTTGTATCGAAGCAGAGGGTTAAGCTCGAGTGCTTGGTCTGTGTAGTGTTCCCATCAAATTGTGCTTGTCCCACGTTTCACAGCCAGTAATTTTCTTCACCAGCCTGTTTCTTTTCTCCCAAACCATTGTGCCCGCTTCCTGTGACTGCTCTAACAGAGTGCTGCAAATCTGGTGGCTTACAACAAACATGCATTCTTTCACAGCCTGCAGGTTAGAACCCAAAAAGCAAGGTGTCAGCAGGGTTGGGTCCTACTGGAGGCTCTGAGGGAACATGTGCTCCAGGCGCCTCACCCGGTTTGTGGTGGTTGCCAACCATCCTTGGTGTTCCCTGGTTTTCAGACATCAATCACTCTGGCCTCTCTGCCCTGCGTTACATGGCAGCCTCCCCTGTGTCTTTCTCTGTATCCAAGTTTCCCTCCTCTCGTGGGGACACCAGCTGCTGGTCAGGACCCCCCGTAATCCAGTATAAGCTCGTCTTAATCTGATTAGATCTGCAAAGACTCTCTGTCCAGATAAGCTCGTGTTCACAGGCACCATTGTTTTTGGATGACACCACTCAACCCCCAGCACCCCAGAAGGCAGAGACTACACTTTGCTGCGTTCATTCATTCATCCATCAAGACTCCTGTTCTTGACTCTGGGGGACGGCAGTGAAAAAGACAGGCTCTCCTCCCTCTTAGAAGATACACTCCAATGGGGGAGTTTGACCATCAACAGAGACTCAGCACAGAAGCACACATTTCAGGTAACGAAAAGCACTGGGGAGAAAGTAAACCAGAACAACGGGACCGAGGGCCATGGGTGGGGTGGGAGCACACCTCAGAATTCCCATGCTGTACCTTCCCTCACGGAAGTTCATGGTCAAACAAGGGGCCAACTCCCAAATAATCACAGAAAGCGATGGGAAAGGACAGCTGTGGCCGATGGACAGTGGATTTGATCTAGCCAGGAGGTCATGCGTAGCACCTTGAAACCCATGGGACAGGAGTCATGGGATGTCGTGTACATTACCCACACATTTTCCCTTTTTGCTCTACACGGTCCCGGGGACCTATCTGCGGCTGACTGCCAAGCTTGTCCTTGTAGACCTCAAGTTTCAGAAAACATTGTGAATAGCCAATAGACGTCATTAAAGGTGCTAAAAGCAAACAATCGATGACAACCAAAGAACCCACTAAATGTTTTGTTCCCCCTTGCATGGGTCCTGTGCATGACTCTCGTGTCCTGTGGATGCCCGTGGGCCAGCAGCACCAGCACTGCTGGGTAGCGTGTTAGCAATGCGGAGGCTCAGCCCGCACCCCGCCCCCCCCCCACTAAACCCAGATCTGCATTTTAACAAGATCCCTAGGTGATCTATTTGCTCATTAGAGACAGAAGCTGTCCCAGATCCCCTGTGAACACTCTGTATTCCTTCCTTGTACCAGACGGGCAGGGTCTGTGGACAGGGCAAGGGTTTGTATGGACAGAGACCTGGAGAGACATCTCTGCATGTCTTCTGGAGTTTTGGGGGAATTTCTGCCTGTTTAAAAATTAGACATTCAGAGCCTATCGTGAGTTAAAGGAATGTATTATGCGTACAAATATTTTGAGGTCATGAAAGAAAAGTTCCTTAAATTACTTCTCTCAGGTGTTAACACCTTCCTGCCCTGAAGGAGGTAATATCTAGCCAAGCAGCCCTGACCCCCAAGCCCAGTTTCAGCAGAAGTCGAAACAGAATAAGCACTGACCTTCTAAGAACCTCTCATCAGGTCAGGCTGATAACGAGATACACCTCCATGTGGCTAGGGGCACTTTTCTCTATAATTTTCTTTCCTGTTTTAGAACCTGAATTTCAACTTCATAATAGACCATGGTCTTGGGGTGATGAAATCATAAAGAAAAGCTGGATTCACACTAAGAAACTCTCACCAAGTACCCAGTTCCTAGCCCATCGGTTATTAGGAAGTCCAAAAGTCTGTTTGTGCTTCTCTCCATAGATTTCAACTGTGATTCATTAAAAGATGAATTAGCCCATTTTATAAACATTCTGTAGCTCTGCCCCCAAATGCCTTCAGATACCCTGATCACGCTGGGATACTGGCAATTAGAAGGGAGATGTGTTTGCATAGATTGCAAAAATCGATCCAGAGCCAAAGTCCAGACTCCAAAGGAAATTTAAAAAGTTAACCTCTGCAACCCATGCATATTCTAAAGCTTGCCATGGTGGCACACGGCTTAACTAATGATTACCGAATACAGGATTCCTGAAAGAGCTTTACAGTAAATCCCAGCTTAGAATAGATCAAATTTTAGGTACCATAAAAGAAGGCGTTTTCTCTCGATCAACAGGGCGATGCACGTATATTTTTCCGTTCTTGTGATCTTCTATAGAAAATAAACCAGTCTCTGGGTATTCATCCACACCAGGTCCACTGATGAAATACATTAATGACATGTTTTCAGACATATGATTGAATAG